ATTTGACAGTTAAAAAATTTCAACACCCTAACCAATGAGGACCTAACTTAATAAAGGCCTCGGAAGCGAAATGACAATGTTAATTCATAACCTTTAAGAAATGAGGTGCCCGAATCCTATGAGAACTTCCTGAATTGAGATCCTCCAAACCAATCAAAATCTGCTGGATCCTATGGCGATCTAATAAAGGGTAAATATTCTTGAAAGGATCAATCACACAGCAATATGGATGATCATGGATATATCTGCAAAATGTCAAAAGGTCATTAAATAAGATGTACGAATTCTCATGTATTGCATTATGTTGCAATATAATGTAGAATTCTTAATTTTTCCATGTATTTCTATTGAGACAATGTGGAAAAGCAAGAAACTGAGACAATGCAAAAAAGCAAGAAGCCCTAGTCTAAGTTTGTGCTATCAATATTTTCTTATGGCATGATAGTGAAAACAAATAACCACTTTACAAAGACAGTACTTTTTTTTCCCAAAAAGGCACGTTTGGTACGCATGAGAAAACTTTTGTGAAAGTATTTTCAAGCGAAAAAACTCCCTCATGTGACTAGGTGTAGGAGTTTTTCACACCAATTGGTCCAAGTGCATTGTTCACACCAATTGGAAGCCATTTGATGCCAAAAAAACTCCCACACCAAATCACCTGAGAGTTTTTTCACGTGAAAATATTTCATGGAAGTATTTTCATGCATACCAAACATGTCATAAGTCTCTACAATGGAGCTCATAACCTTTAAACTTTCTTAAACTTTCAATGAAATTTCATAAGCACACATATAGCTCCTCAAAATGATCACAACAGATATACATGTCATGGACACAACATCATGACAATAATCACTTAAAAAGATGTCATGAAAGCCCAATAGCGCTCCTAGAAAGTGATTAGAGAGTAACTTATAGCAGCTACCTTCTCATACATGTCTATAACAACACGTCAAACAAATAGAGATTAAACAAGACAAACACATTAGTGCTCCCATGCGTCTTAGACCCATTACACTACAATGATATCTTGAAGCAAATATCACCTCTGCAATTCTTGCATGCCCTTCGAGAAACAAATTCCTCCAGGAAAATCCAACAAATTCCCCAAATCAACACTCACAATCTCATCGGTGGCTTTGTGAAGAACCACATCCAGTTCTTGGATTTGACATGATAAGGGAAGATCAAATGTGATTGGTACAAACATCAACCCACTTTCAATAGGAACCATGGGAAAGGCACCCCTCTGCCAAAATCAAAGTAATCACCATCCATCAATAAAATAAACAGACAGCGCAGTACAGCCCACTCACAATTAAACAAAGCCACACACGTCCATCGGATCATCCAATCAAATGATGAATAGTGATAGAAAAGGTTAGACAACCAGAACAGAACAAGGCCCTGATGCACACACTCTCCATAACCATAATCATTTGGCATTCCAATGAATTATAGTACCTTAAGTATGTTTATTTACAAACCTAAAAGAACAGAGCAATAACCTTTGCGAAATCCTTTTCCCGCGAAGGTTTCATGATATACCCAACTGTTAGAATGGAATCACTTAGAACCTGTAAAACAAGGAAAAAGGATATCACCCACAAAATGAAACAACAAAGCATAAAAAACCATAGAGAATGGGAAACAATTATATTGGAGACCCGCTGTATTTGATTGTACGGAACTTCCCTCCCAAACCAATGGATTAAACATACAATGGGCTATGGGAAGGTTGTTACCAATAGCAGGTTGGTGGTTATTGGGTAGCGGAGTAACCATCATTCCAACAACTGTTAGATCTCTAATCCAAAGATGGGAGGGAACTCCGATGTAACCAATCCAAGGGAACACCTACCTGGCATTGCCCACCAATAATAATGTGGTTCGTTTATTCTACTTATAAAAGAGAAGCGAATATTCAATTAGGCATTTAAACTATAATAGTAAAGTTACAGAACGAAGAAGGGGATATCCCATTAGGCATTTAAACTATAATAGTAAAAAAACAAAAAGAATAACACAGGGCCAAAATGGCCTATCTGAAAATCTGGGGTTATAAAGCATTGGAACTGAAATACTTACCATTTTACTCAAACGACATATGGTTAAAGGCAGCTCTTCTAGCTTGCTAATAACTGTCAACCCCAATTTCTCAACTGAATCAGTTTCTACACCTGAAAACAGCATAAATAAACTTGAATATAAGCATCCAAGTATCATCAATGTTCTTATTTTAGTTTATTACATCGCATGATGACCACATACATGTCCGCATGGTTCAATGAGAAAAAAAGGAAAGTATCATTTTGTTTATCAAGAATAGGATATGAAAATACTCACTCATGACAACAATTCTACACTTCTGACTACTGATCTTCAGAATGAAATCTTCATCTTTTCTGGAAGTCACATATAAACAACTCTCCCCAGTGGCATTCCAATATCGCAAGGCTTTAGATAAAGAATCCTCTATACAGGATATATTTAACACCATGCAATCAAATGAGTATTGCTCCACCATATTGTTAAGAAAAGACACCTGCAATATGCAAAGTATCGTCACACTACAAAATCAGTCTTCAAGGAAACATCATAAATTATGCCCAAAAAGAGGCTCAGATATTAAAAAAAAACAAGGGAAAAAAAAGAGCTCAACACACCTTTTGAGATGAAGTATCCGAATCAAAACCAATTGCCTGCAAAACATATATGGCATAAACATCAAAAAAATTGAAGATTTAAGCAACAAGGCTTTATCCCACCTTATCACCCCTCTAAAACATCAAATGAGCATCAGTAGCTTTTTCCGTTTTTTTAAACATCAATCCTAATAATAACGACCATAACAAATGTTACTAGCACATTAGCCAAGTAAAGTCTGTTTTGGTTAAAACATTAATCCAGTAATGTCCAAACTAAGATGTAAAAATTCAATCATCATTGTAGAATTAGGATACATGGAAAGTTTTGGCAAAGTTTTAAATTGATTGCCTATGATGTAAAAACTCAATCATATTCAAATAATCCAAAACATGACAATACGGCAACAAAGTGAAGAGCAACATCTTTCCATATCAAAACAAGTAAAGGCACCTAGATTTTCGAAAGAAAATGTATATTTGGTGAGTTAGTCAACTCATGCTTCCACCCTGAATTTCAGCAAATTTTGGACCCGAAACACATCCTGAATTACTGTAAAACGATTTCTGCCTCAGATCAATGAATTTGGAACTCCAAAGACAATGCAGATCTGACGATATTTGAAAAATAAAATAAAATTTATGGTCCAAAAAAAATAAACCATCTTTGGGCCCAAAAGTTAATCGCTTTTTTTTGGATTCATGATCATGGAGGTTTAGATGATAGACCTGCAAAGCTTTGGATCCAAAATCCATCTCCAACCTTACCCTTTTAGGAATGGATTAAGCGTCTATCAAATAGGAAACCCAAAAACAATGTTGTTGTTTTGGAAATTGTTGATATCATCATCATCAATATCTGAGCTTTATCTCAACTATGGGGTCAGCTACACTAATCCCATTCAGCCATTCCGCTATATGAATGGCCATGCCTTTATTCAGACCATAAGTCACCATATCTCTCGACATGTCCTTTTGAAAATTGTTAACATACAATATCCATTATCAATGTCAAGTAGAGTCCCACAATAAATTGAAAATATATTTCCATTTGATCATTCTCCAATAATCCGTAGATAAATCCCACTTTTTCTCAGGAAAGTAAAAATTACCAGCTATATTTTCATTTCCATCGATTAAAACTTTAGAAGTTGGGCTCTGAGAATTATCAGTAACAACTCACATGGTTAAATAAAAAATCACAAAGTCAGTTTTTACACAAACAGGAGCGGATTGGCTTCTCGCAATCTGAATAATTTCCCCAAAATGCAACATTTTTGGAAAGATAATAAAGAAAATGGGGAAATAGAAATCCATTAAAAAGTGAAAGGGCATTTTTTTTCACCATAGTTGCTCAGATACCAGATCGTTCTTTAATAATGAGCAATAACCAAGTATCGAAAATTTAATAGCAACAATAATTCCCAGCCTTCACATTTTCTATAAACAGTTCAATTAACAATAAAACCCATCTTCTTGAAAACATATGTGAAGAAAATTAAAAAATAAACACATGAAGAGGAATCCAAATGAAAAAAAAAAAAGAAAAAATGCTCTCCACAGTATTTTACAAGGACAAATAATAACAGTATAAATGAAACATTGTGAGAGAAAGATAGTTTACAGTGTGGAGCTTAGACAATCGAAGTCTTTGGAGTAGTGTCTCTGCCCCTTGCTGAAAAACTGGAACTTCGCCATTGTCGTTAGATAATAGCAGGGATTCCTCTATTACTACTCGTCGTATTGGCTCCATTAACGCGTTTGTGTACACTCTGGAGAGAGAGAGATGCGCAAAAAGAGAGGGCGACACACTAGAGAGAGATAGGAGCGAGATGAGGACGAGAGAGCGAGAGAGCGTTCTGGAGCGAAGGTGGCAGGTATTATTTATGATCCCACGGGAGCGTACTGTACTACAATAACCTCGGGTAAAACAACTACTTTGAAAGGATTTTTTTTTTTTTTGCGAATTTTTTAGATCTATCTAAATAGGGTTTTGTTAGGCTAAATATTACAGATTATTATTTTAAAGAGATAAATACAATTTTTTTTTATGCCTTTCTTCTGAAAATTGGATGGTTCCGGTTCAACCTTGGCACAATTTTTTTAATCACATGGCAAGTGCAAGTTGAATTTTTTCTTTATATCCCCAAAATTTAGAAATCAAAAAGATACTCCATGCTTCAGTTTAGCCCAAGGGAACAAATAAACATCTACTTTATGGGAGCATAAAATATTTTCTCATTATTTAAACAACACACTCACCTCCTTTTCACATTATTTAAACATTGCAATGATCAAATTGCCCTTATGCATGATTTAAAATCTTAAACACGCAGGATTATTTAAGTGCTTTAGTATGCTCGAGTTACCTGACCTAATTGATGATAATACAGATAATACATTTGATGTTGAAGTTCGCAATATAGTTTAAAATTTTATTATGTAAATTTTATTGATTTTATTCAAATAATTCTATAAATTAATTACTATTTTGCTTTTTAATATTCAAAACAAATTAATATGTACATTTATATTGAAAATGGCCACTTATATGTATTTTATATTCTTTTAATACCATGAAAAATATATAATGAAACCATTTATCTTTGGTACAAGGTTGTCACAATTAATCTTGACTATTGGATGTGAAATTGGGTGGGCTGCATTTACTTCATTGACTAAACTCAAAGTTCAAAATAAATGTTCTCAAACTGTGTGACATATCCGAACTATCAGATTTCACATCGTATAGTTATAAATAATTGTGACCGCTTTGTATCAAAGGCATATGGTATCATTGTATGCTAATGTTGCATATCAAATGCTTTCCCCATATTTAACAAATAACTGCTAAATGAAATGGTCTCCCAAGCAAAGTTGACATGCTTAAAACTTCCACAAATATTATTTAAGAGAAATGTCTTTTGTCTTTTCTCACCAGGGTTTTAAAGTTTGCCGATCCTAATTTTGGTGTAACTGATCGGATTGGATTCAATACAGGACTAATCCTGTTTTTACTGAACCATGAACTGATCCAACTTGGTAGGAGCCACTTAATTATTTTGGAGATGCGGTCGTTTCTATCAATAAACTAGCGACCGCTTTCTCTTATATTTTGATTTTTTGTTTAGGAATTTTATGCTAATATCTCCCAATTGTTAAAGTTTAAAACTTCTGCAAAGATTATTGAGAGAGATGTCTTTTCTGACCAGGGTTTTAAAAATTGCTGATCCTGATTTTGGGGTAATTAATCGGATTGAATTCAATACAGGACTAACCATGTTACGTTACCGAACCATAAATTGATCCAATTTGGTAAGAACCACTCAATTATATTTGAGATGTGGCCGTTTCTATCAGTAGACTTGTGGCCACTTACTTTTATTTTTTTTATTTTTTTATTTGGAAATTTATGCTCCCAGTTGTTTTAAAATTAAAAATAATGGCCCAAGTTAATAAATAAATAAATAAAAATAAAATAAAACATTGGTTCGAGCATTCAATATCCGGACCAAAAGTAGGTAATATGAACCCTATGTTTCCATAAAACAATTCAGATTTTCAAAATCCAAACCACTACAGATTTGGATTTGAAAATCTGAGCCACATTCTAGATTATATACTCGCTATTTATTGGTTTAGATATCGAAATTTTGAATCGATGGAATTTTGGGAAATAAAATAAAATAAACAATTTGAAAATAGGATACTTAGCCTAGATTACAATATATGGGATACATTTTTAATTCTGAAAAAACTAGGAGATATTAGTGTAAATTTATTTATTTTAACCTGAGAATATATGCCAATCCAAATCAGGAATAATAAAATCAGGAATAATAAAGAGGGTTGCTGATCCGACACCCGGTTCCTTATTCAATTCCTGATTTCTAAAAGTTTACTTCAGTAAAAGAGAAACCAGTTTCTAAAACCTTCCAACCATTCATGGAAAATCGGTTCCATGCCAACCAAGAGCCTCTCTCTCTCTTTGAAACAGAACCCCTCCTCTCTCTCTCTATGAACTAGAGCTCCTCTGCTCTCTCTCTCTCTATGAACTAGAGGATAGCACTCTCACTCCAATAAGATAAGTCTCCTCTCTCCTTACAAACTCCCTCCTCACAATTCTTCAAACAGGAAGTTCTCTCTCTCTACGAACTAGAGTAAGCTACTTCTCTCATCGGATCCGGATATCCATTTCTGTTTACTTACAAATGCCTTTTTTTTTTTGACAAATGTTATGAACTTATATTAAAGCAATGCTTCAAGAGTATGAGATTATAAATATTTGATCAAATCGTTAAAAACTTACCAAAAAGGAAGAGAAACACCATGTTTAGCTAGCCCATCAACGACATCGTTTGCTTCACGCATGGTGTGGCCGAAGATCCTTTATGGATCCTCTTTCTACACCACTGGAGATAAATAGGGACCAGGAGATCCTTTGCACTTTCCACACCACTTGATAACATTGAAGGAATTCCCTTCAATTATAATATCACCAATGAAACCCCTGTCGGTGATAATATGAAGGCATTGAAGGAGAACAGCCAATTCAGCATGATTTGTTGTTGTGGTCCCACAAACATCCGAGTAAGAAAAAATAACCAATCTCAAATTGTTGCCAAAACACCCACCAACAATTGCGGGCCCTGGATTTCCAAATTAGCTACCATCAAAATTAAGTTCGAGGCAAGCTTGTAGAAGTACCGTCCAAGTTCGAAGGGGACGGCTAGAGTGAGAAGAGGAATGAGCAAAAAATTCCAAATTCATATAAATATCAGTCCAAAGAGCACTCAGTCTTTCAAGCGTGGAGGAAAACCAATTCCAAAAAGATTGTAAAATGAGACTTTTTACCCTTTCAATACTCTGAGATACCCCATCAAAGGTTCTTCTGTTACGTTCTAACCAAATATGCCATAAGATTGCACTTCTGAAAATTTTCCAAATAATAACTCCTTTATTTGGTAATCAATGACAGAAAGATGATTAATAATGTTGATGAGATTCAAAAGTATCATGAAGAAAAAACATAATAAGGAGAGGTTCATAGCCATAAGCTCGAGGCAAAAGGACAGTGAAGGAAGAGGTGAGAGTAAGATTCTTCATCATTTTTACATATCAATCAAATGTTTGGAATAATTTTACCCATCTTTTGCAAATTGTCTACTGTTAAACATTTCCTTTAACATACGACCCATAGGAAGGCTTGGATTTTAACTGGAACTGGTCATTTCCAAATATAACCCAAAGATGTAGGAACAATACGGACCCGATCCATAAAAAGGAGCCTATACACTAATTTGACAGAAAAAACTTCATCAGTTTCTGATTCCCATATGACCAAATATTCGGCATTAGAAGAGATGTAAACTTGTTTAAGCTGTTGGAGGAGATTATGAAGTTGCAAAATAACCATATTCGGTAGCTTGTTGTAGTGGCATCTAATGTCCCAGATCATACAATTAGAGGGGGAAAGATAAATTAACTCTGAAACTTTTGCATCAGGTTGAACAACTATGACAAATAGGTCATGATAAGTAGAAGAGAGAGGTGCATCACCAAGCCATTTGTTGAATCAAAATAGAGTGTTATCTCTATTGCCAATAAGCCATCTGATGTTGCTGAAAATAATATTTCTGCATCTATAAATATCCTTCCAAATCTGTGAGGTAAATTTGCCTCCTCTACCTTTTTTAGTCGAGTGGGTTCGATGATCGAAACAATATTTAGCAATTAGCACATCCTTTTAAAGATGATAAGAGTTTTAAAAGATTATCCACCACCATTTGGAAAGAAGCGCCTAGTTTACAAGTTTAAGCTTTTTGATACCCAAACCCCCCAGCTTTGACGGCATACAAACCTGTCTTAGTTCCCCAAATGAAACTTTCTGTGGTTATCCTCCATATTACCCCAAATGAAGTTTCGCATATATTTTTCAATAAGCTTGATTACTTCACTAAGTATTTGTAGAACTAATATCAAATAAATAAAATTTTGTGCATAGGTAGATTTAGCCAAAGTGATACGCCCACCAAAAGATAAAGTCTTGGTATTACATAGGTTAAATTTAACTTGATACCTGTGAATAAGAGGGTCCCAGGTTGCATGATTGAGCTTACAATTAAATATAGAAACCCTAAATATTTAAGGGAAAACTTCTCAACTCTACAACCCAGAATTGAAGTAAGAGAATCCAAAAGGTTGTTAGAGCAAGAGATACCTACAATTGCAGTATGATGGAAATTTACTTTGATGTCCAAAGCTAGCTGGCAACATAAGAGGAATGTGCTTAGATTCTGCAATCCCTCTTCACTGGCATCACAAAAGATTAGGGTGTCATCTGCATATTACAAATATGAAATAGTAGGCCCAGATGATGAAAGTTAGAAACCTGTAAGAAGACCTGCATTTACAACATTCTTAAACATCAGACTAAAACCCTCTGCTACTAAGGTAAAAAGAAAAGGAGATAGGTGGTCTCCTTGTCTAATGCCCCTATAAGCATGGAATAACCCCTTAGAAGATCCGTTAATAAGAACCGATAAATGGGCCTAAGAAATGTACCCCATAATCCAAGAAATCCATCTAACACCGAAACCCATTATTCTCGTAATCTCATCGAGCACTTGCCATTCAACTCTGTCAAAAGCCTTCTCTATATCCAATTGAATAACCACTCCCGATTGTTTAGAAATATTTTTAGAGTGAATATATTCCTGGGCAATAAGAATGCTATATGTGATCATGCGGTCTCTAATGAAGGCTGACTGTTCATCAGATATCACAAAAGGGATAACCAACTTAAGTCTCTTTACTAAAACTTTTGCAATAATTTTATAAA